GTATACTTTCAGTATACAATACTTCCTAATATCATATTATTTTGAGTTCATTCAGGTTTGGATTAACTTTTTAATGGTTTTTTTTCAGCTCAAATAGCTTGAAATAATGTGAGGAAAATGTCATAGAGTTGTAGAAAAGTGTTTAATGGTGTGGTATTGAAGACAGCTTCTGTAAGTTCTGATGAGTGACATGAATTTATATTGGCAATGAGAACACTGAGTCTACCAGAATCATCTTTGGACAACAGACAGAGCAAATCTGGCATAGTCCTCCTATCCGTATGTAATAGAGAATTGTTTCTGGAGCAAACTATTTCTAAAATAGCATCCAGCTTTTTCTGCAGAGGACACTATTTGGTTTGCCTTGGCTTACTGGAAAGAGGTATGATTGAGAAACCAAGAATAAGTATTCAATCAGTTTGCTCTTATTTGACAGTGTTATTTGACAGACCCAATCACCGAAAGATCTCTGATATATCATAATAGAGTGGTGAGTTTTCAGTAGGTGACTTTCTGTCCCCCCTGCTCCATAATGCCTCTGCTATTGAATCTGTAATCTGTTAAGCAATAGATGAAGAATGGATGGAAGATAAGGAGATTTATTAGTTTATCAGCCCACTGGAGTGGGAAGGAGAGTGCATGAATGAAGAGTAGAAGAGAAACAATGGATTTACTGTTAAACAACAAGAAAGAAAAAAAAATTATGCAATTAGATTCACTATAGAGGCCGAGCTGGTTTTCACACAGAGATGTCTGTCGCATAAAGCATCTCACTCTCTATGTCACGATATATCAAATTATGTGCTAAATCTTACATTTCTGTCATTTCAACCTCCCACCAATAGATCTCCTGCAATTATCAATTTGACAGGTTTTTCTAGCCCAACCTTCAGATTTCTTAACTTGGGAAGACAAGACAGAATCCATCCAGAACAAATAATGAAATAGATGGAGTCTATACCAAAGTCAAAGAGACTGTGATACCCATGCCCAAATTTAGCAAATTTATAAAGACTCATAGATTTTATGGCCTGAGGTTACCACTGTGATCATGTAGACTGACTTTCTGCAAGAGGAACACAATTTTTCCCCGTCATTTCTGTCTTGAGGACATGCCTCCTCAAGGAATTTGAGAATGTCTGTCTAAAAATGTATCAGTGTAGATATGAAAACTTCAAGCAACACAGAAACTAGCACATTCCTAAATCCATAATTCAGATACACCTTACCATCATTGGTTAAAATATAGAATATTATTCTTGGGCTTAATTTAAGAGATTACTAGTTCCAGTCATTAGATCTTATTCCTCTCACAGTTAGACTCTTAATCATACAACCTTTTCTTTAGGCATAATATCTTGATAAACCCTATATCTCTTACAGAATTTCCAGCAGGATTTCCAGATTTTTAATGGTTCTTTTGTAATTGTTCCTGAAGTTCCTCCATACTTAGATTCTTTACATGTACAACATCCGTATCCATTAGTTTTCATGGGTGTATGGTTAGAGGAACTCACTAACAGCTGTGACTACAGGTTTCTCTTTCTCTGTTCCACTTTGCATTTATGCTTCTCAGATATCTACAGATGTCAAAGCAAAATTTTAAAAAAGGAGACAAAATACTTAAAATAGACATAATAGTACTTTCATGGAATGCAGCACGTTGGTTTTTTGTTGTTTGTTTTTTAGGTTTTTTTAATTACTTATTAGAGAACTAGACTTTGAAAATTCATATATTGAATTTACAGAGTCCAAAATGATGATTTACCCTCACATATACAACCATAACTATACTAAAACAGAATAAAATTCAATATTGCTGAATGTATTTCTCCAGTGTTTTTAAACATAGCGGGCCAGAAGTGGACCAGCTCTTAAAGAACAAATGTAAGGATGCCAATGCGTTTGGTATTCCGTAGAGAAGAGACTTTAAATGTGTAAAACCATAGCAAGTTAGTATGTGCTCTAGTCAGCAGCATGGAAGATCACTTTTGTACAGAAGCCTGTCTGTCTTTGTCCTGTATGGAAAGCATAATTTTCCTATACCTTTGCCAGTAAATTCTCCTATTATAGAAGCGATGCAAACTGGCACAATGAAACAGGCTGTATTGAATCCCTGGCTAAACCACGACAATGCCTTAAAGTTCTCCAAGCAAAATAAACTTTCAGATTTCTTCACTGGTGTAGCTGTAACTATATTCACACCTTTTGGCAGAGGAGCATGACATGAGTCTCACACCAAATCAGCATTTTTATTTTGGCAGTTTTCTAACTGCAACATTTCCCTGTGTCAGTATAGGATTAATTTATGTGGAAATGGAATTGAACGTCATGATAGTAAAGTATGTAGAAGTTGTTATTCAGTAAAGTCAGACAAGTTCAGAGAACACTCTGATGAACTTTAAAAGACAGTTGAATTCACAACACAACAGCAAGTAGTAAATGCAAAGTAAAAGACATTGGGGAAAAATCTGAAGGAATTGTGCATCTCACAGGGTTCTAGATGTATTGTATAAACCCAGTAAAGTTCTCATTATAGAGAAGTCAGTGAATACTATTTTCAGTATGAAACCTGGTTAAAGAGTATGACAGGAAATGCAGAGAGAAAATCCATTCATTAATGCAATGAGCTTAACAGGTTTCATTGTCATTTAAAAAAAAAAAAGGCTAAAAATCCATGAAAATGCAGGAAGAACAGTATTTTTATTAAGAGCAAAGGAAATTTTCTACAAAAAAGTGACTGAAATAATTGTGATGGCTTAATTTACAGCAGGGAAAAAGACAAGAATAAAACTTGAATATGAAAGGACATTGCAAAAAGTATGAAATAGTGAATGAAATAAAAAGAGTAAATTGAAGACAACTCTTTTTGTCCTAATGAAAGAGCAAATAAGTAATTCCAGGGAGTAAAAGGTGGAAATTTTAAAATTAGATTAGATGTGTTTTGACATGCATCATAGTTTCTGTGAAATTCACTGCATAATAATGCAACTCTGCTTATGTGTAAAGATGAGAGAGGCTTTGTGCTTATCTAGACACCAATTATATATGCATGTCTGTGTATACAAACATTCACATACCTAAACTTTCTTTGAATATAATTAATTTTTTATCCCAAGAAGAATTTGATTTTCTATATAAATTTGCATTAAGTGAAGAGTATATACATGAAAAGCTAAAGAGTACAGTGTTATTATAACAAATTATAGGAAATACTTTTTTGACAATGTAAACCTGTTTGTTCAGGATTTAAGAATATTTATAGCTATTAGATATTAGGGTAAAAAAAAAAACAGCAAACAAACAAAAAAACTCCAAACCTCACAACTACAGCATATTATCTACTGATTTTCTATTCAAACACTGATACATCTTCCCACATGTTTGTTGCTCGTTGTGTTCAGAGATAAGTTATTGAGCTATACAGACCATGAGTTCAATTTAAAATCCACTTTAATATTCTGGAAAAATTATAGCTGAAACATCTGATTGAATAAAAAAACTTTTATAAGCAACACTTTTCATACCAGAAGAAATTGGAGAATGAGACCACAGAAGCTTCTACAGAAAAAGATGAGGTTGACTTTATAAGAAGAATAATTTCAGTAAGGGTTAGTAGGGTTTTTAAATTCTTTTTTTTTTTAATTTAAAAAAAAAAAAAAACACAAAAAAAAAACAACAGAAAAACCCAAAAAATGAAAACCAACACCCAAAGTGAAGGAACACTTTCTCTGAACACTGAGATAAGACTTGTTCAAATTCATTGATAAATATATTTTTTAATGTCAAATTAAGCTTTGAATGAATTACTTTTATGAAATAGAACAAAACGCAGTTCTACACAGAAAGTGGAAACTTTACATTGTTTTAAATGAAAGATAGACTTTTCTGCAAGGAAAAAATAAACTCATTCTCTGAAACTTTAATGATCTACTGTTTTCTGACTTTTTGATGAGTTCAAATCATGTGAAATGGAGTGGAAAAAAAGACACTGACTTAGGAATAAGATTGGATTTAGCCTGAGATTTTCAGAATGATGCTCATTTGGGATTATGGATTCATAGAATGGAATTATTGAGCTCACTGTATTGTAACAAATGGTGCTTAGCTATAACTTATCGTCCAGAGTCTTTTAAGCCTAACCGAAGATACTGTGAGATAGAGAATTCATGAATTCCTTTGAATGGGTGATTAAAAACCCTCATAGTTAAAAATTTGTTTCTTATTTAAATTTTTCCTACCTCAACTTCCATGCTTTACATTTTGTTTCATTTTTCTTCACTAGATAAAAGAATCTTTATATATACAACATTATTTTCCTGTGAAAGGACCCATTCTCTTGTTATTTCTGGTTTTGGTAAGGTAAATTGATGAAGCAGCTTAAGTTTCTCACTGTAAGTTACTTGCTCAAGCCTTTGAATATGTTTTTTTATTCTATACCAGTCTGTAAAGCTTGCCGTTAGTGAAAAATCATATATTTTCTTCTATGTAATTGATAAAAATGCTGAAAACATCAGACTTCTTTTCCTTCCCTGTGGAACTGTCATAGAAGCAATTACATTCAGTGAAATCCCCCTTAGGTTGGCAATAATTTGAGATCTGTCAGGAATCCAGTCCATAATTTATTTATCATGTGCTTTACTGATATTCTAAAGAGCTAATTCATGATCAGAATGTTACAAGATAATAAGTTAAACAGTATACAGAAATCTCAGACTATCACATCATTGACAGGTTATTCTATGAAGCAAACAATATTCTCAAGGAATTAAATTAGTTTTGTTTGACAAGACTAATTTTTCATGAAGCCATGTGGAGTGCCATTAATTTTGTTCCTGTTTGTTAATCCTTAATTAATCAAACTTGGAATTGGTGTTTCCATTTTCAGTTTGAATATGCAAGTTCATTTGTTAGCTGTGTTTTGGAAAACTTATTTTTATGTTTTTATTGATATAAGAAAGCATATTTTTATCTTCTCTCACTCTCTCCTCCATTTTAGGAGTTACAGTGCTTGAAGGGCCTATTTATGCAGTGGGAGGACATGATGGTTGGAGTTATTTGAATACAGTTGAGCGGTGGGACCCTCAAAGTCAGCAGTGGACATTTGTGGCAAGTATGTCAATTGCCAGAAGCACTGTTGGAGTAGCAGCATTAAATGGCAAGTGAGTAGGGTATTCTCATATGGTTGAAACACATTTCTTAGAGGGATGAATAACTGTTACATACAGTAGTAAATAACATTTAACATATTGTAATAAAGGGTGTCTTTGAAATAAAGACACCGTTGTGCATACCCTCCTATATCTCATGGCTCTTGCATTTATCAAAATAAGTAATTTATATATATATTCTATATTATTTTTATTTAATGTTTATATTAAATGCTTAAGGATATAGACCTGAAATTGCAGTGTGCATGGTATAATCCAATTCAGGACAAACTCTCTGTTGACTCGTCTGACTTTTATATGTTTTATATGTCAGGTTTAGTTAACCAACTAATATTGTCATGTACCCAGTGATAAGGTTTGTTATGTATGCATTTTGTACCTTGATTCAACCAAACATTGACCTATGAAACCTTCTTTGTCTGAAAGCAACTACATTCGCACAGGAAATAAACCAAAATTTGATTCTTGTCAAACCAATCAGACTGCATTAAACCTGTAATTTTTATTGTGTTCAGATTATAAATTTCTCTTTTATAACTTTCACTTTTTAAAATTTTAATGTGGCACTTACTAAAACTCATTTTAGAGTAACGTGATTTTACGTATTACTTGTTGCTTATTACTTTTAAAGTACTTGCTTTTAGCTATGTGGCTAAAAAGAATATGGTGTGAACTGTAATAATTTAGAGGTAGGGGAGGAATTCATCACACCTAACTTCATGTATTTTTATATAGACATCTACAACTAAGCCAATCGTCCTAAGCTTGCCTTATGGTCAATGGAAGAAATATGTACTTTTCAGCTATCATGTGTCTTACTTATTTTAGACATTTATGTTAGGATAGAATGAATTGTGCTCTCTAAGTGCCTATTTTTCTCTACTAAATATATAGGACACCTAAGGACTCTGTTTTCGATTCTGACTTCTATGCTTTTGCTATCTTAGGCGGGGAAGATGAATCTCACTGTAGACCACTGAACATAAATAAAGGGCAGTCAGTAAAGAATCCCTTGGTAATGGTGGGAGCAATGGAATAAGACAAATTTCTGGAATATTATTTTCTTCATACTTTATCGCTACTGAACAGCAATGAAGAAAGGATAAGAAACAGCTGCAGATGTGGGATGGAATGAGAGAGTAAATGTTGAGGAACTTAAAAAATAGTTAATAAAAGTTGGTATAAAAAGTATATAGGGAAAAAAATAGTCTTATTAAGGCTATTGGGTTTCAGGGTAGACTATGCCGTTGCACAATTCGACAACCCACTAAATATTGCCCACCCAATTTTTTCTAGTTGAAAATCATTCAGTTTTGATTATACAGTTGGATAAACTCTAAAAAATCCTTTATATTCGGTTATGCTTATCATACCTAAGATACAGGCTTGAAATAAGTAGGCTGAATTGATTTCTGGGATTGTCAGACTCTTTCCACTGACTGTAAGAGTCACTGAATATATAAGTAAGTCAAACGAGCTTAATTTAGCCCACAACCATGTTACAAGACCTATAGGAGACTGTGTACCTTTCTGTAGCAGCAGCAGGAGGCCTGACAGAGTACCCATAATCCCATCATTATGACAATATGCAGGTTTTCTTTTAAATTGAATCTCAAATTAATTAAAACTACAGACCTTAAAAGTGTTGACTCATTTTTTGAGTTTGTCATGTTACAGTTGTGTCCTATTTGCAGAGTAACTCTGCATTAAATAGGGGGTTTGGATGCATCTATTATTAATATTATATTATTTAATTTTTGATATTATATGCTCAGATGATCTACTTCTCATCCATGACATTAGGATTTAGTTTTATGTTATGAAATCATCTGCAAAACACTGAAGCTTAATTGTCATTGTTTTCTCTTACTAAGTTACAATGGCATTGAAATGTTCCAGAGTAGATCAAATGGACAAAGCTGCTTTAATAACCCTGTTACTCTAAAAGAATCTGGTTTTAATAGTGTATGAGTCATGCAGCAAACTAGCAGAGACAAGACCTAAACAAATAACACTGCAAATACAGATCTAAAATTATGAAGAGCTGCATATAATTATGTTTATATATGCCAGGTATGTTTCTTTTGCACAACTGAGCATATATTTATTGCTTCTCAATTAATAAATGCTCAATTCAATTCTGCATGATTTATATAGAACATTTTTAAATGAAAAGAGATATTCTCTATGTCTCAGAAAAGTGGAATGGATACCATTTAAAACTGAAAAGCAGTGGTCTCACTGAAGCAAACAGCAAATATACTATTTTTTTATTATTATTTGAATAATGATTTCTTAAAAACATCCCATATGTGAAGAATTGAAACTTGAAAACATATGTAAGGAGCAAAACTTTCAGGTCTCTGGTTGAAACTTACTACACTGCTATTCCACACAACTGACATATGCTGCATTCCTCATCTGAGCTTCTCGCTTTGAAACAGGCAAACAGTTATGGATTTTTTTTTTTAAAAAAAAAGAAATACTAGGGATATTAAAAATGGATGTCTCAATGAGAAACAAGATGTTGGCTTTAACAGTCAACAGGGGAGAAACTGTTTTAGTATGGATGTTCTGTGGAGTCTTTTTCTGTTTTTTTCCTTATATTTCTTTTCTTCTGCACTGAATTAAATAAGTAAATAAATAAAATGCAGCAGGGTTAGACTATCTTTGAAGTGAGAGAGTTAGAAACTATTCTATGTGTCTATCATCTCCCACACTGCTTTGGGCACTTTACATAAAAGGGATACTGTATGCTAAATATCTCAAATGTGAGCTTCTTAAATACTTGCAAAAATATAGTCTCTTCTTTTGTGCTTTAACACTGGAAAATATTACATTTGTGATCTTCCATACATCTATGGTCTGCCTTATTGGCTTTCCAGTTAAAGCCATTGTAAGCAGAAAAAATTATACGTTTTACCATAAAATTGGATGAAAATTGTATTTTTCTATAAGCTTATGGTGGAGATGAGATAAAAAATAAAAACTTTCAGATGCTGATCTCCTTAGGCTCTGAGATGATTGGTTTGTAAGTAGCTTCTTATTAGTTCTTGATGTATTGAACCTTTTTATGCTTGCTTATATTTTCGAAGCTCACTTTTACAGACCATGCAAATAAATCATCAATTATTTTGCTGCTCAAACAAATGGAAAGTGATACTATCTGTATTTAGCAAAAAAAGGTACACAGAAATATATGGTATTTCACTGAAATACATTTTTAAATTTAAACTGAAAACGCTAAATTATATCAATTATATTATATTATCAGCTATTAATATATTATACATTACACTTTCCTAAAACCTGAAAAGAATTATGTCAATATGTGCATCATAATCCAATCTGGAAAAACTTTTATCTATTGAAGTTATAAAATCTTGCTGAATTTTTCAGAAATTCAGAAAAATAAATCTTAAGTACTTATTTATTTTTTTTTAAGCTTAGTCCAGTTGACAGGGTTCTTTTGTATAATCAGGTTACATTATTACATTTTGAGGTTGCCATATTGTTTCACCGATGAGAGCTTAATGAACACCTTCCTCTACAAGCATGCATGTGACCTGCTTGTTACCCTCAAATTTCCCATGCTAATAGGATACGGTAGTTGCTATCCTTCAATCTCGAACACAAACAATATTCCTTTTCTTATGCAGCTTTCTTAACTTAAGGTGCAGCTAGAATAGCTAATAAAAGGGATAGGTCGTTTTGTAGATAAAAGAAAGACACAGCAGATTTATTCTACCAGATTTACAGTAAAGCAGCTGATCTTATGTTACACTGGAAAAAAATATTTAAGATGGAAAAAGATGAGTAGTTCAGGGATTTTAAAAAGAACTGCATGTGACAACTAGGACACTACAAAGTTACTGTTGGAATTCTTTAAAGATCGGCCTTGAGATGGAGTGCAACAGCAGGAGCATGCTAATTAAATTATCAGACCATTCGAAGTGACACCATAGGGAACATTATCATATAGGACATGTTGGACTATTCTACAAAAGTATTTGGATGACCTTAAGAAGCAACACAAATGGGATATTTAATAGTATGTATGTGAATGAACAAGTCTATGAAGAAAAATAATCATAGAAAGTGGCAGAGGGAAAAAAAAACTCTGTACCTTGTTAGTACAGGGGAAAAAAAAAAAACACAAAAAACCCCCAGTAGAAGAAATCTGTGAAAAAGGAAATGCAACTGAAGAATATATAAAGTTTTCTTCATTCTGGAAATATCTATGCTATTTGTATTATGGTGTCCAATTCTGCTTAAGCATATTGACGAAAGTGTAACTGAAAATGCGAAGTTTGAATAGGGGATACCATGATTATCAAGAGCGCCTATCATAGCAAAGAAAAGCAGCAGAAGCATTGCAGTTGGCACAGGAACAGATGGATACAAATAGATAAAATTCAGATGGGAAAGGAGAGAGAGAAGAAAAATGATAGGGAGAAAAGAGGGTGTACACAAAACTCTCATCCGTTTCTAAATGCATGTTTATTGGTTCATAGCAAGAGTAATATTATCTGTTTTCATGCAAAAGCAAAGACTGGAATCCAAGAACTTTCCTTTTCAGTAAAATGCCTTTGTTTTCCCAAATCAACAACTGCTGCTGTGTAACAGTAATGATCTGCATTGAGCATGTGGAGATTCCATCTCCTTCATCTTCATACCTTTCTTATAGTTAAACAATAATGAAAGTGTGAAGGATGTTAGCCTTAGTGTATATTTAACTCAGTGTATATTTAACTTGATGCCTTTATTAATTTTTAACACACTTCAGTAGCTATTGTAGGACTTGGCATGGCTGTAGAATTTCATGGAATGAAACATGGTCAGTAGCTCCTCCTGATCTGGAAACAGCATCTTTTCCGCCTTATTGCAACCCTGTTGCATAGACTGGAAGAGAAAGAGTGCATGAACTCTCTCACATCAGCAACAAATATGGGTGTTAAAATATTAATTGTGAAATGGATACTTACACTAGC